ATGTTGGTATTCTAACAAACATATACAGTTAAATTAAAAATTGCTCACACTGCAGGAGGATTTACATTCATTTGTTTTCAGTCCTGCTTCCACTGCTTTTCCTTTTTCACCATTCGGTTTTTTTGTTTTTTGCAGTGAACTCCAAGTCTTCCTCTTTGCTATCAGGCTAATAATCAGATTAGATTAGATTAGATTAGCCTGTTTGATTTAATCTGACAGGCAATCTGTGGAAGTAGCTACAGATTAGGGTGACGGTTTCCATCCAGAGCCCATCAAAGATAAATAATTGGAATATAATTTGCTCAGATATTAGGAGAAAGGTTGTACTGCATGTCATTTCATTTAAGCAACAGACTTTTAAAAATATATATACTTGAATTTAGCTGTGTATAGTATTAAAAAATACCAACAAAAAAAAAAATGAGTCACCCTTCAGTAACAACAGCCACACTGAGGAGGGTTACTTTCATTTTCACCCTTTAGATCCCAGGTGTGTAGCTTTTAATGACCGTAGAAGGTGGAGTTTAATATCTCGTGTCTCTAGCTGAGATAGATGAAGAACTTCAGTTTTCCCAGACTTTTTATCCTCCATGATTTTTATTCTTTGCATCATTTGCTGCTCCAAAAAACACTCACTGACATTTAAAGGAAGGTTTTTAAATCCGACTTTCGAACCACAAAATGCATGTTTTGTTAAAGCTCTGCTCCGCTGCTTATCTTCCTTATTTGCTTCAAGTATTTAATGTTTACACTCGTTTAAATACGTCAAATGTCTCTTTCTGTGTCCTGCAGTAAACCCTGTTTTCCTGGCGGAGACGGAGAGAGAGAGAGGGAGGAGTGAACGACTCATCAGTCTGAAGTCCAGACCCCAACAGCAGAAGCAGGATCTCTGAGTGCTGCAGGATTGTAAAAACATACTGAGAGAAAAAAGGTGAAATGAACACCTAAGGAGTGGGGGAAAAAAAACCCTGACAGTGATGACGTCACTGGTTTCCAACCATCCCTGCCTTTCACCCTCGACAGAAGAAATTTATTATATAAATTTAAGGATTTCTCTATGTGTGTGCGTGACCTAGTCTGTGAAAGGCTGTAGTAGTATATGTTTGACATACATGCTTCTAAATCAGCCCTCTTAACGGATTTAAAACTGGTTTTCTCGTCGAATCTCCGGAGCTGGGATGTGCAACAGAGATGTCGACTCGGTCTCTTTCAGTCCAGTTTTTAATCGTCACACTTTGGTTTGCTTGTCTCATCCTTCTCTGGGTTCACTTGCTGCGTTGAGGCAGCCATGAGCAGTTATTGTGAAGAGAAGACAAAAGAGAGCTACACCTTTAAGAAGAGGAGCTCTCTTCATGCTCACTTGTCGTTATTCCTTTGTCGTTTTGCACAGCTTTTTCTGTTCGATGATTATCTCGGGTGTTTGAGTCACAGAGTTAATCTCTTCCTCTCAGAGTGGCTCAGTTTGCCCCACAGCTCCCATCATCACATTCCAGTTCATATTGTTGGATCTCAACAATCTCATTTCACTATTTGGTACCTTCGGTTTTAAAGCCAGGCACTGTAAGACATTTCAAACCAACCAGGAGACTCTTAAATTGATTAAAGGTTATTTTCTGTGATCTAAACACAGATTAATTTAGAGGTCAACCTTTACCATCTATAGAGCCAGTTGTGCCCTCGCTACTTGACTGAATTTAGAGATGCAAAACGCCATAACATAAACGCTCTCCAATCGGGTTTTATACGCGCTTTTTTATCATTAGTCAGCCATGATTTTATACAATATTTAGGTTGAAACCCAAAGGAAACTTTTAAAAATAACAGATTAATGTGAAAGTTACCTACCATCAATAGAAAAAGCACTTTGAGACAAAAATATTAGAGCAAGTTTAACGTTCATTGTGTGTGAATTGCATGAACAAAACATAGAAAACCTGCTTAAAGGAGCATTTACTTCTGTGTCTAAAAACCTGCTCTGTTTATCCAACATATTTGGGCTAAAGTTAATAAAATCTACTTTGGAGGACCTAGAGGGAATGATATAGGTTTGATTAGGGGGTAATCATTTGTGATATAAGTGTCAGCAGGACCAAAGAAAGATAAATCCATTAAAATAGGCTGTTCTATTATCATTTCTCTATAATGAAGTGCTACTGAACTGAGCCTGTGCTGCTTACCACCCAAACGCACCAGTACAGCTTCTATTAATAGAATTAGAGCTTCTTTCAGAGATGGAAACTGATCTGTAGTATCAGAATTTAGGTTTGTTTTATCTCACATGTACATGGATGTATTCATTTCTGTTAAATTTGATGATTGTGGGTTACTGAAAAGGAAAACTTTATGAGAATTAGATAATTACAACAATTTGGACTTTTTTTTAATTATTAGGCTCTAGGGCAGGGGTCTGCTACCTTTCATATCCAAAGAGCCATTTTCACCAGAGTCCGACCAAGTAAAGTTTAGAGCCGCAAAGTAGACGACGTTTTAGAAAATTAATCTATTTGGGTTTTTTTTTCTATTATCTTATATAAGAAATTAGATGCCATCTTAAACAACAAACAATTTATGTATTTTAAAATAATATTAAAAACAAATTCTAGGCTAATTAAAAGAAAAATGGCTCTAAAAACATATTTCTGGTTCTTTTAATGTCCTTAACAATCTTACAAAAAACACTAAAGCTTTTAAGACTTGTGTTTATTTTATAGTACATTATTTAGCTCTTTATATACATTTTAGCCACTATTAAGAGCCGGTGTAGAGGGTCCAAAGAGCCACATGTGGCTCTGGAGCGGCAGGTGGCAGACCCCTGCTCTAGGAGCTTTAATTTTGGTGATTTCTGAAAGTAGCTAGACAGGAAACAGGAGTACAGAAAAAAGGAAACCTGTGACTCCGCATCGAGAAGCAAATCCTTCGTTTAATCCCTGCAGTTTTTCTTTCATTACTTTTTTCTGTGGCTCCATAGAAACATGCTGGCCCCAGACTTTAAAGTGCTTCTAGAAGTTAGACAGTTGACCAAGAAATATTATCCATCCTGATCTTATGTTGCTGTTTTTCATCAGCTGTAAGCTATAATCATTAAAATGAGCAGAATAAAGACCTGAAGTACATCCCTGTGTGTGATGAAGCTGTATAATCCAGAAGTTTCACAGCTTGAATTGACTTACTGAGATAAATCTTCCTGGAGTTGTTTCTTTATTTATGTTTTTCTCACACTTCATTGCTGACATTTATGTAATGAGCGTGCGTTTCTCATAATAAACGTTAGTTATTGTTTACTGTGGTGTATGTGGATCACATCTTAAACCTTTTTTTTTTTTTTACTTCAGTGTGACTTCCTTCAGTGGGTTGGCGTGTTGCTATGCCTGCTTTTGAGTGTTAAGTAGAAACCAGTTCTCACCATGTGCAGTGGCCAGTCGTTCTCAGTTTACTGTTGTTCGTCAGATGAGCAGAGCAGGAAATATTTTGAACTGTCTACGTTTTTTGAAGGGGTTTTTTTTCGCCTTACTGGGAAGTTTAATGTGGGTCTACTGTTTATATCGTTTTTTTTTCACCTGTATTCTTGTATTTATTTGTTGTTGTTTTTTTCGTCCTCATTGCTGTTTTCTTGAGAAAATGTACATAAATCTATAAATACATATATAAAGATATACAAATATATTTTCCATTTGAATCGGGGAATCTTATTTTTATTTTTTGGGTTTATTTTTGCTGCTGGGTAAGTGCTGATTGCACGACTGCAATCCACATAAATTGACCACATTCTTCGGTGTGTCTGTTCAGATGCAGCTGCTGTATATTTATGGTGTGTAAAACCCACAGCTGTTCCTTTTTATCATTTCTGAAACAGAAGGACTTGTGGGTTTCTACCTTACATGCAAATCAAATAGGGATTCTTCCAAGTGTTCAGCTGTGTTGTGTATGTGTTTTCAAATCGCCTTGTGCCCTCATCCAATAGGGAGAGCCCGTTGCAGAGACATAGCATGATTTCACAAATAAATATGCATATCAGAAACGTGTATTTTATGTATATCTGTGTACATTCATCTATTTATATCTTGGAATAAATAGATGGCAGTGTGTGTGCGTGTGTTTGGACTCAATCAGGATGAATATGAAATAAAGCAGTTCTATGAATTGTCCATGGAAACAGTGTTGTGCTTTTTATTTGTGGGTAAAATTATCTACATATTGTCTTTTTTAGTAGAAACATTCATTATAATGACTTTTGTAATGGAGTGGCAATATTTCCAGAGGCTGCATGTCTATAAGCAGGAGTGTTAGAGAAGGTTTAGCTTTATGTAAATGGTTTGTTATGCCAGAAAGGTATCTAAGAAGGTAACCGTGGAGGCCTTTGCAGGAAACCAGAGAAATATTTCCTTGGAAGAAAAAAGAATAAGGTCCTTAAGACAGCTATCATTACTTGTGATGAAAAACAGAAATTAAAGCCTAAAAATCCTGTATTTGCTCAAAAAGGAAACACTCAAACTAAATCTAAGCAGCTGAGCAAAATGTTAAATAACTGTGCAACAGTTGGTAGCATTATTAAATAAAAATCGGTGGAATATCATAAAGTTTGTGGTGGAAACGTCTTCAAATGGGAAAAGTTTAAAGGATCTAACATTTTTTTCAAGGAACTTTATTACTAACCCAAAAAATCTAAACACCATTAGGAAGTTTGTTCTACAGTAAGATAATAAGTGTGCCAGTGTTTTTTGTGGGATATAATAAATATAATTTAAGAAAATAGCCCTAATGTTAAGATATATATTTTCTCCAATTAATACAAATTTAACTTTAATCATAAAAAGACTCTTCAGGAATGATCAGGGCGTTAGAGGAACAAAGGCGCTACTACGTCATCTCCGTTGTTTGATTGGCATCCTGAAATCTCTGCAGTGATTGGTAATAGACCCGTCGGTCAATAAGATCAGCTCTCCTATTGGTCAAGTGAAGGATTCCAGACTCACGTGCCTTTAGCTTACATTGAAGGCGGTGCCAGTTGATAGCTACCCACCCCGGTAGACGGAGCGGATTGTTGATACTTGGAACATATAAAGTTGAAAAATATTCTTCGAACATGGGAACGCGAGATGATGAATACGACTATTTGTTTAAAGGTATATATATATATTTTTTTACCAGAGAGTGATTGAAAAGTCGCGGAAAGAGCCGCGTTTGTTTTCATTCCGTGTTTGCAAACTGGAAGGAAGTCAGCTGCAGAAATGCTAAAGTTAGCATTTAGACAGACAGTGACAGCAGAAAAGAGTCATAATTAACCAGTGAGAAGATATAACATTTATCCTTACCCTGTTTGGCTGTAATGTACATTATATACTTGGATAAATAAGTCCTATGGTGGCTAATGTTTAGGTATAATTGGGTTTAGGAAAAAGCTGTTAGCTAACCTGCTAGCTGCTCCTCTCTCATATCAATAATGCAAAACTCTCATTATTTAGTATTTGACATTGATCGTCAGGTTATGGCCGTTATAATCAACCATATTCTGTATCTGAAAAGGTTTCGCTTCTACACCTGAAGCTAAATACACTGTTTTAAAAGCAGCATTAAGTTTTTTATCAGACATTGAAACGGTTTTAAAGTTTTTCCTCAAGGTTTTTTTTGTTTTTTTTTTTTTTTTTTTTT